AATGCAAACAGAGGCAAGTTGGGGCATCGCGATGGATTTCCGAACGAGGCGACCGAGCATGTATGCGCTTCTCGCCCTGAGGACCTCTTATTTTACTACTTTACTTAGCTAGTTAATGCTTTGGTTTTGTACTTAACTAGTTAATGCGCTTAACTATTCAATTTGTGTTGTAATAACTAATTAGTTAGCTTGTTAGTTAATTAGTTCTGTTTTATAATAATTAGTTTAATTAGCTTAGGTTAGCTAGTTAGCTTATTATTTGGTTTGTGTATTCAGGATTTTTCTTCTAATGAACAATTGGATAAGTGAATATTGACCCAAGGGCACAACAAGATGGTGGATTTGATAGGCATGGATCTCATGGATTTTTTTTTATTAGTTTAAATACGTTCATAATTTCTAAGCTTAGCTTATTTCTCTTAATGGGATTAAGTGAGAAATAGCGAATAATGTACTATTAATGATTGTGTAAGATCTTAGATTTTAAAGATTCAAGCAGTCTCATCACTGCCTAATGAAATCATATATGATATAGTCAATAATTTTTTTCAATTAACTTTTTCTTCAATGTGTATTTATTTAACATGCTTAATTATATGATTTCTTATATGGCTTTATGTGAACAAACTGCAAAGGTTTTTTAGAGGGAAGTCGAAGGAATTGAACCAATCTTTTATAATACAAATTCACAGATTGTAGTAATGGATGCATTTGGTAATTCTCGAAGGTATTTGGAAGCATTGTCCTTTTTTTTTAACACTACATCAAAGGAAGTGCAGGACTTCATATTGCTCTTTTTATTTAGTTCTATGATACTCCATTACAACTCAAGGCAATTTTTTTTGAAGGGAGTAAACTAGTTATCTACAGTACACCTTCATACTTGTAAAGGTGAGAAACTTTGACTAGGTGTCCTATCTTTTTAGTTTAATAGTTTGTTTTGTCTCTTAGCTTTTGTTGGGAATAGCAGTTTGGATTTTCTCAAGTGTTACATTTTTTAATAGTAATTTTTTTAAATGATTTTTTTTAAGCCTTTAATGCAATAGTTTGTTTGCCTCTTAGCTTTTGTCGGCAATAGTCAATTTGGATTGTTTGGATTTTTTCAAGTGTTATATTTTTTTAATGGTAATTTTTTTAAATGATTTTTTTAAGCCTTCTATGAGGAATCATGTATTTTGATCATGAAAAAATTGTTCAAGTGTGAATGTGATAATTGTTGGTGTTTAGTTTGATAATTGTAGGTAAATTGGGAAAGACACTGATGTTTTTATTAAGAAGAGTTATGTTAGAAATTTTTTTATGTTCAATTCCTCTTAATCCATAATTATTGGTTTTCTTGTTTTTCATAAATATTTTGAATGAATTTTCCTGTTATGATTTTTTTTAGCTGATTTTTTAAAGTCGAATTCAAGGGTTGGAATGATTTTGTTACAGGTGATTAATCAGCATTAGAAACATTGTGGTTGTATTGCTTTTTTCTATGTGTGTTAATGGTTGGTCTTTCATTCTTGACTAGATTATTAGTTTTTTTTTGTTTTTAATAAGCTATAATGATTATTCTTTTGTATTAAAATGCTCATTCATCATTCCTCCTATGCATGAAGTATGTCATTTTGAATTGATTTTTTTAATAATTGAGTTCTATAGCGCAACGAAATTGTTGTCATTCTGAATTGATTTATTCTAATTGAGTTTTCTACGGTGAGGTAGCAAAAAAATTGTTGAGAGTTCTTTTAGGCACGAGTTATAGATTTATATTTTTTTTACTTTACATTTTACTATTTTCATTTGCAATATTACTGAACATTATAAATTTTATATGTTTATTCTTTAATTTGCAGATTAGGGGGAGTTGATATTTTTAATTGAGTTATATAGAGTGTGTCATACAAGTAAAATTATTAAAAATTTATTAAGAAGAATAAAAAAATCTTATAAATTTTAACATAATGTGTATAAATTATAATTATGTTTTAATTCCAAAATTATTCACAGGGCATACACTAGTTTTCTGATAAAACAGAGTTGAAAAACCTAGTAACAGAGATGACACGCAATGGTTTCCAAAGTCAAAAAGTATGATAAAGGAAACTGGATATATTTTATAAAGTCAAGTCGTATAACAGAGTTGAAAAACCTAGTAACAGGGTGACACGCAATGGTTTGCAAAGTCAAAAAGTAGATGCCGAGAGCGATACAGCTGTGTTTGTGCTTAGTTAGTGAACGTGGCATGCCAGCTAATTAACCTAAGCATATACCACGAGTTTTTTTACAGTATGAGACCACATTCTTTGCGTCAATTTTTCATGTTTGTGTCTTGCAGACCATGTTTTTTTTTCACGAGTATTGATGTAATTTATCTAAGTCATTTATAATTTTTTTTCTTTTTATTTTTATTTAATTTATTTGTTTTAAGAGTCTGTGTCAAGTTGATTGACATAATTTTTACGTTTAATTTATTAGATAAAAATTAGTTTAAATAAACTAAAATAATTAATTATCTGAAAATTGAGAGAGATATTTTGACTTCTACTTTCTTACTATCAAATTTTAATTTATAATAAATTACGCCAAACAGCCGCAACAAATCTTACTAATTATATGATGAAGAGGGGTGTTGGAAGAAGATTTGGTCACCTACAAAGCTACAAGTACATCAATTCTACATACTCATTAAAAAAGACTCACCGGTTAATAATGCACATAAAAAATCAAAAAAAGCGAAACATACTTCAAAATACATGAGAGTAGAAATTAAAATTTAAGGCCAAGACTCATAATGTAACCACACAACAAAAATTTTGAAACTACACTTTTAATTTGAAATTTTAAATAATTTTTTTGATAATTTTTCTAATTGCATAAACTTTTCCCTAAAGTTGTGTTTGATTTAAGGACTTGGGAAGAAATTTGAAAAAAGAAAAGAAAAAAAATAAGTGAAATGCGAATAAAATATACTTACATTTTACATAATTTCACACACGCACACACATACACACACACATATATATATATATATATATGTTTTTTTTTTTTTTTCCAAATTTCTTCACAAATTTTTAAACAAAACATAGCCTTAGTGATGATTCCCATGTTTAGGAAATCGGTAGAATATATAGCTCCATGTTGTCTTTTAAAGTTGTTAGGTTTTATTCTTAACAATCTCGTTTGACAAAACCCCTTTCAGTTGTAATTTTATTTGTTCTTTTATTTCAGTGAGGTTATGAGTTTTTAGATGCAAATCCAATCCGAATTGTGTCTTGCAGAGAAGTTAGTGATGTTAATTCTTTCATGTCTGCCATTTCGCTGACTATGTCAGGGATTGAGCTGCCCGCTAAGCTCGCGGGGGTCCAGAGAACAGCACCCCTTGGCGGCTCCGATGCAGCACCCAAGCGGGGTTGAGGGGCAGCGCCCTCGAAGTAAAAAGCAAAAATGCAATCGAAGTTGTTTGTCTACTCGAGTGGCCATTTGTGCGCTCGAATGGAGAATTTTTGGTTCCAGAAGTTTGATTGCTTGCAAAAGTACTGGGAGCTGTATTTTTCTACTCAAGCGGCCTTTCCTGCGCTGGAGCGTCAGTCCGCTTGAGTGGTCATTCTTGCGCTCGAGCGGAGATCGCGGATTAGCTTTCTATAAATATATGGTTTCATTTGTTTTTAGGGTTACGGCTTTCAGATCTTCTTCTTGGATATTAGAGTTTATATCTGGAGCTTCTTTGCTGTTTCTTTGATGTTTGTTTGAGTTTAAATTTGGTTTGAAAAGTAAACATCAAAGGATTGTTTGTTCGTTCAATACAAAAGAGAGTGTTGTTCTTCGGTGAATTTCGTAGAATTTGGGCCTGAAGCTTTGGTGAATTCCGAAGTGGCTCATCGTCGTGATTCGACATCGGCGTTGTGGATTCAACGTTGGGCAAGACAATTCCGAGGTGAAGACGGGGCTGGAAGAGGCATATAGGAGTCGGTTCAATTCGGGTGTGGATTCGATAGGTAATTGAGAGTGCACTTGTGTAATTCCTTTTGTCTTCTTAGTGGATTGTTTTGTGACTTTTGCTTGTGATTTTTTATCACAATATTTTCACATTAAAATCGTTGTGTCGATATGTCTTGATTGTTTGATTGGAATTGTTATTTACTGTTTAAAATTGATACATAATCACAAATCAATATATAGGGGATTTCTAGATTTTTCAAAAGTAAAGAAAAATGTGAAAGCAAGCCCATCATATCCGTCATTCTACTGCATATCAAACATAAAGAAAGCTGAATCCCCATCACATTCTACTGGTCACAGTTGTAATTTTCTGTAATAACATTCGTAAAAAATTGATTGTATAACTGAATAAGTGATGGTTTGATCTACTGGTCACAATTGTAATTTTCTGTAATAACATTCATAAAAAATCGATTGTATAACTGAATAAGTGATGGTTTGATAAATGACTGATTGGTTATATATATCGATAAAATTTTGTTAGATAACATAAATATGAGGTTATCATATAGTAATTTTAAAAAATAAAACTTGCCATAGACAGTTGTAAAAAAGAATAAATATTTGCTTGATGTTTGTTTTTTGTTTTTTGTCCAGCAAAAAGAAGATTTACTGATGAAAAACATACAAAGTATGCTACAGAACATCAATAAAGCGGAGGGTACAAAAAGCATCACAGAGAAATATCAAGATTCCAACCAGGTTGATGTTCGTTGAAATGATAATATTAAATTATTTTTCTCAATTTAATTGGGAATATATAAATTACATTGTATCATGTAGAAGTTGATTTTTATAGGTTGGGTAGAACTATATTAATGATATCTTGTCGAATGACTCATAATTTCTGACTATTCTAGTTTAATCATATGAGATTTAATCTTTCAACTTGTTTTTGCTTTTTTCAAGTTCCTGAATGCAATTTTTATTTATTTATTATTATTTATTATTGCTTCATCTTTTCTTGTGCATGGCATAGTATGAAACATGGGATTGAGAGATGAATCAATTACCATTGTTGGTGTAGCCATAGGCAGTGAGCTTCAGAGTTGATGTGGCAAGTTTTCCATCTATGCACTTCCCATTAGCGTCTCCTCTCAATTCTTGTACCTCCTCTGTGTAAGAAGAACAAACCATATCCATATATATATAAAGAGAGAGAGAGAGAGAGAGAGAGAGAGAGAGAGAACAAAATTGAGATCATTATTAGTCGTACGTGTGTATCTAAGCTAATCTAACCTGCAGTTCTTAATGCTGCCAGTACAGCTGAAAGAGTGGAGCGGAATGGGGTGAAATTATTGAGGCCATTGCCGGAGACATTCGAGGAGACTCGGTCATCAATCCGGTAGATCACCTTTCTCTGGCTTGGATACCATGTCATGTCTGCAAACTCATGTTGATTGCCGAAGCTACCCACTTGATCTCCCAAGTCTGAATCATCCTTCTCTAAGAAGGTGATAGATCGCTTGAAGATGGGTTGCAGTCTGAGAGTCACCTACATACAAGTTGGGTTTTCTTTTTTTTAGTTCCATTGTTCAATGATCATGTTAGCTGTACAACATAATACATTTGAAAAAAAAAAAAAAAAAAAATTAGGGATCATGAAATTTTTTTCATGAAAGTGATTATGAAAGAGTTATGATCTTTGGATTACGTTGATTAGTGTGTGTTGTTTTATTCTAAATGTAATCTAAGGGTCACAAAGTTTTCATAATTATTTTCATGAAAGATTTTTCATGATACATAGCATTGTTGATATATTTTCTATACTCTTTCTGTGTTTTAATTCTATACACTTAATATTACTGTTTTCTTTGTTCACAAATTTATTATCAACAATGTTAGGTATCATGAAAAGTATTTCATGAAAATGATCATGAAAGATTTGTGATTTTTAGATTACACTTACAATAAAGTACCACACACTAATCAAGGTAATCTAAGAGTCACAAATTTTTCATGATCATTTTTATAAAAAAAATTTCATGATCCCTAATATTTCTCATTTATTACTAGGCTTGGCCAAGTTTAGTAAATCTATTATTTATTTAAGTTGATCGGCTGAACAGAAGGGTCAGACTAAAATTAAAAAAAACAAAAAAAAACTAGATTTTGCGTATTAATTACTTGATTATTTAGCAAAAGGTTTTATACATACTAATGACAAATTTATATTTTTTTAAACCTATGCGTGACTTCTTGTAATTATGTGTTCACAAACATAATCATTATTTTTCCTTTTATCTTGTTTGTTTCATACTTAAACTAATGATGATTGTCTTTGATGTATGTTGATGATGCAGTTCGTCCTGGGTGGATGGGTCGGACTGGTCCAAGCTCTTCAAGTTCCGATTTAGGCGGATGATTCCACCAGATGATCTTCAAACAACTCCAAAGGGGAACGGGGTAGTCCCCCAGTGAACCCTCCGGCGAGTAAATCAGTAGAGGAAGAATGAAATATATATAGAGAGAGAGAGATAGAAAAGCTTAACCTTCCTCTTGTCTTCGATTCTTACTTATATCCTTTGGTAATCATTTCACTGTCCCTTGCGACGTGCCCTCTTCCGCCAAAAGCCTGTGCCGTAGCTTACCTTGTTGAGGGTGAGGGGTCTCTGTTCTGACGGGGAAGTGTTGTCGTAATAAATGCTGTGATGGGTTACATTAATGGTGATGTGTTGTGGCAATAACTCTGCAGATCTTTGTCTGCTGATGTGGCCTGTGTTTCACCTGCCATGTGCCTGAATGTCATTGGCCCTCTATGCCCAGATGGCCTCCAGCTGTCCTGGGTTTTGCCAATCGGGTTATGCTATGGGTCCCAAGCGATGGGTTTGGGGTTGTCTGCTGTGGGCTGTAAGCCTTATGGGCTTATCCATGTCAGTAGTCCCCCATTTCCGAGTGCAGCTTTAGTCCAACGAAGGGAATAGTAATAAAGAAGAGAAGTGCGAACCGAGTGGAGAGGCCGACCGTTAGGTGTGCCAACCGCGAGGCGTACCGACCGCAAGGGTGGCCGAGCGGGAGGGGTCGACCGTTAGGCGTGCCGACCGCAAGGGTGGCCGAGCGGGGGGAGCTGACCGTAAGGGTGGCCGAGCGGGAAGGGTCGACCGTGAGGCGTGCCGACCAGGACGGCCTGGGGCTCAAAAAAGGGGGGGCGTGCCATGTGATGATGTGAAATGGAAAGGACAGGGTAAGGGGAGGGGACAGTGCATCGTGGCCATACACGTGGCAACGTCGTGGGGGAAGTGAAGCGTTGGAGCAGAAATGAAATGATAGGTCACGAGGGGGTTTTTGAAAAGGCGATTTTGGCGATGGATTTGAAAGGTTTTTAAACGGGCGAAAATTAATGTGGATCCATGGAATACGGGTAAACCGTGGGTTTTTGGTATAATTCGTTTCACCTACCTTTTTACAAAAACTCAAAATACCCAAGTGTTAATTCCTTCATTGCGCACGACACACCTTTGCAACATTTTCTCAACTTCCTTGCTCCTGCGTCAGAAGTGATTCGTAAGCAAACCCTAGAAATGGCACAAGAAGAAGTAGCCATAAGACGAGAAGTGGCCGTAATGAATGGCAGTGCGTTGTGACGGCGATTGGTGGGTGTGTTAGCTAGGGTTTTGTTGAGAGAAAGAAAGAGCGCGATGTTATCGAGGAAAGCTGGTGCTCACCGTAATGAATGGGGTTTTACTGCAGCGGTGATTCGTGACACCGGTCATTATGAAGCACAGAAATGCAAAGCAATGTTGGGTTTCGAGCCATGTTCTAGAAAGAGAGAGAGTGCATACGTGTGTATGTGCGTGTCGTGTCCAAGAGGTTTGGGCTAAATTAACCATGGTTACAAATATATATATATAGTATAGCCTTCGTTTGGGATGTGGGTTGATTTTTTGGCTATTTTAGTTTGGGGCTAAAAAGCCTCGTTTGGGATGGATTTTTTTTTGACTTTTGTGGAGAAAAAAAAATGATTATGGTTTGGATGTGACATTTTGTCTTATTGTCTTTTTAGCCTATTTTGTCTTTTTGTGACTATTTTAGCCTAAATCCTTTATGCCAAACGAGCTAGGATAAGTTGGTAATTTCATTTGAGCATTTTCTTATGGACAAATTATTTTAAGTGTGGACTTTCACCAACAAAATATTAATTTGGACTATTGGACAGAACACCCTTTAAAATAGGAATAATAGCTATATGCACCAATTAGTGTATTAACTAGTGTACCAAGTAGGGTCAATAATAATGTCATAACTAGTGTTGATACACTAAGTATACACTAATTGGTGCATGTAGCACCATCGTTAAAATAGGGATGAATTACTAATAGGTCAATAGTAATTGGACTTAATTCCATCAAATCTATTAAAAACAAGTCTTAGTAAAATCGTCGTTAAAAATAATTTTTGTATACGTCACTAAAAATTGACAATTAATGACTTTTTTTTGTACGATTTTTATAAATTATGAAAAACTTACAATTAGTGACGTTTTTCTATGAACAAATTTTTCAAACTGTCGCTGAAAGTTAAAAATCAGTGATTTTTTTTGTGAGAATTTTTTTAAATTGTGATAATTTTCAAATTGTCGCTAAAAATTAACAATTATGACTTTTTTTTAATAGTGTAATAAAAAATGTTATTAATTATCATAGGACCTATTGAATAATAAGTTTACCTATTAGGATCTACCCATAAATCTCTTTAAAGTAATAATAAATAAATATGTCACAGCCCAATCTGGTTCGAATCGTAACCAAAACCTTAGAACTGGAAATCGGAACGATTTGAATGGTTCCGCCATTTTAAAACCAGAACTGTAACTAAAAAAAAGACCAATCGACAATTTGAACTGGATTGAATTAGTTTACCGGTTACACCAGCTGTTTTGAACACTCTTACCAATAATCCTGACCAACCAAGTTTAATAACTACTATTTTTTGTCTCCCAAAATGTGCCTAGAACCAAAGCTAGAGAACTTAGCAATATTAGTGGTTTCCCCTTGCTCAAACCTTGGCCATTATCTCGGCACACCAATTCTCCATGGCAGAGCCAACCTAAATTATTTTAAATTTCATTGACAAATTGCACAAGAAACTATATAGTTGGAAAGCTAGTGTCCTATCCATGGCGGTCGAGCCACCTCATTCAGTCCGTCACTTCAGCCATGTCTTCTTATGTGATGTTCACAGCTAAACTTCCAAATAACATTTGTGCGGAATTGATAAAATTAATAGAAATTTTCTGTGGGGCGACCAAGGTAATGGTAAGAAACTTCATCTGGTTAACTAGGATCAAGTTTGCAAACCTGAAGACAAAGGGGGCTTGGGTATCCGTAAGGCCAAAAATCAAAATCTGGCTCTTTTCTCCAAACTTGGATGGACCTTTATATGGGAAGGATACTCTTTGGACTGCCATGCTTAAAAGTAAGTATCTTCAGAATCATAGCCTGTTCACTTGGCCTACCCAGCGGAGTAGCTCACATATTTGGAGAAGTATTGTTTATTCTAAAGATGTTCTTAGGAAAGGTACTAAGTGGATCATTAGAGATGAAGCTACATTGTTTCTTTGAAAGATTGGTGGTGTGGCAATCAACCTCTGGAAGACACTTCACCGGGAAATCACTATGATGACATAACTGTTAATTCCATTTTAGATACCAGCCTGAATTGGACCTTGATAGCATTGAAATTTTTTTAACCCGCAGATATTACTAGCATTCAAAGTGTGTACCCACCTAGACTCACTAACTTACCTGATAAACCTTGCTGGGTAGGTACATCCATTGGCATTTTCACTTCTAAATCAGCCTATGATTTAATCACTGAGGTTGGCACCCTGATGCTAGTTGGAAATGGATCTGGAAACTCAAGCTGCCCCAAAAGCTTAAGGGTTTCTTCTGGCTCATTTTGCAAAATAAACTGCTTACAAATCAAATGCGGGCTGCTAGAAGACTTACAGAAAATGTGTTTTGTTCCCGTTGCAATCTGCATTGTGAAGATCTCTTACATCTCTTCTGGGATTGTACTTATGCTCGGAGCATATGGAAGATTGTTAGAAATGATCAATGGCAAATGGAGGCTGAATCTATTACTTTTGAGAACTGGATTGTATCTAATCTTAAGGATAATAAACAAGATTTTAGAGGCATCCATTGGAATATCTGGTTTGTTGCTCTGTTATGGCAAATCTGGAAAGATAGAATTATAAAGTTTTTACAAATTTGGATGGAAATGCTTCTCATAGCATTTTCCAAGCTTTCCAATATGCCTTTAATATTCATGAAGCTTTTCTGCACCCTTGCCACTAATCAATCTGTTCCCAAACTAATAGCTTGCTTACCTCCTTGTGCAGGTAAACTAAAACTCATACGGATGGATGTGCTAAGAGGAACCAGGTCTAGCAGGCTTTGGTGGGTTTTTTCGAGATGAAAGAAGCAGTGGTGTTTGGCTACACTGGGAAACTGGAATCTACTACCAGTCTAGAGGCAGAACTGTGGGCAATCTACTGAGGCCTCACCATTATTCTGGAGAAAGGTTGGAGAGAAATTCAAGTTGAGACTGACTGTAAAATGGCTGTGCACCAGATTACCACCCCAAATGAACAACTCCAGAACTACCCTTATAGAGCTCTTCTTTTTGACATCAAGGCCCTACTTCAACGCACTGAATGTGCCATTGCTCATATTTATCGTGAAGGGAACAAGTGTGCGGATGAACTTGCCGGTTAGGAGCTGCTCAAGCCGTAGACCTGGAGGTGTTTGATGACCCTCCCAATCTCTTAGACCTTTGCTTGTGGCTGATAATGTTGGCACTGTGTATGAGAGGGCCTAACTTTCTATTTGTTTCTGTTTTGTTTCTTGAACTCTTCTGTTATCATTTCTGAAACATCCAAAAAAAAAAAAAAATACAATTCTCATAATAAGAAAGAAATAACTAACCACCACAAAAAAATATCAAAATTCTCATCTCGAGATCTCACATTACAAATCTTAGGGAAAAGCTTGTGCTATTCGTTTGGCATGTAGACTCCTTCAAACTCTTGGACTTTCCAAAATCCAAGTGGAGAGTGATTGCAAGTCTGTTATTGATCTGAGTCTTTCGTTTGACCTTTGGGATTGCCTAGCTATAGTGCATGATATACAAGCAACAGCCTCTACTTTTGGCTGTGTGTTCTCTTGGGTGCCTAGAGAGGCTAATAGTGTGGCCCATTGGTGGCCTCAGTACACCTCAAGAATGCTTTACCTCTAGACTGAGTTAGGATAGTTCCTTTTCCTCTGAAGGAGTTACTGCTTTTAGATCCCGCTTTGTAGCCTTTGGGCGATTTCCAATTCAAAT